GATGTATTGAAACGGAAAAAACAACAAATCCACCCAAATCAACATCAGAAAAAAACACAATTAATAATAGAAAAGTTAACACTCTAATAAAACAAATTGATTGGGCAAATATTGCGAACGGAATAAATGGTACAAAGGAATTATTCGAACAAATATATAAAACATTCAATAATATCTATAAAAAATCCACTGAATCGAAGAAAGTTAAAACCAAAAATAGAAGTGGGCAACCTTGGCTAACGGACGAACTAATAAGTTACTGCACTACAAGAGATCATTTATATAAAAAATATCGGAAAAACAAATGTGCAGCTAACGAAACCCTGTATAAGACATTTAACAATCAATTGAATAAAAAAATAATATTTGCCAAAAATTCATATTATTTCCATAAATTTATTCAAAACAGAAGCAATATCAGAGAAACTTGGGCAACCATTAACGAAATAATTGGAAAGAGATGCAATAACATAGATGAAACAGTGAAACTTAATTTTGTAAATAAAAACATCCTCGAAGTTGCTGAACAGTTTGCAGAACAATTTAAAGATAACGTTGAAAAAATAGTACACGTGTGTGATAAAATTACTCTTCCAAACAACCCAACAAACATAGTGAATTCTATTGTTATCGAAAATACAGACGTTATGGAGGTCAAAAACATCTTAAAAAGTCTCAACGCCAGGAAAAGTGCTGGAGCGGATAACATTCGTGCAATTGATCTTAAGAATAATGTGGAAATAATATCAGAAACCATAACTGACCTTATAAATAGAAGCCTAAATGAATCGACTATTCCAGACCTACTCAAGGTTTCAATTATTCGACCAATCCACAAGAGTGGAAGCAAATCATGTTTCGAAAATTATAGGCCAATATCAATTTTACCAGTCATCGAAAAAGTCCTAGAAGAAATAGTCGTGAGGAGATTGAATAATTTCATAACTAAATACAACATAATACACAAAAACCAATACGGATTCCAAAAAGGAAAAAACATCAATCAGCTTTTGGGAAACTTCACAAATGTTGTAAACCAAAGCCTATCGGAACAAAAACAATGCCTAGTAATGTTCGTCGATTTCAGCAAAGCTTTTGACACATTATCACATCCGAAACTGCTATGCATTCTAGAAAGAAATGGGATAAGAGGTCAGTGTTTAAAATGGTTTCAAGAGTATTTAAACTGCAGAAGATTTAAAGTCAAAATTGATAATCGCACTAGTAAGGAGCACCAATCTCAATACGGAGTACCTCAGGGCTCCAAGCTTGGACCGATTTTGTTCATAATATATGCTAATGATATGATTAAAACTCTTAATGACAGCATTACCTTTTCATATGCCGATGATACTGCCATAATAGTGTCAGACAAATCCATAAGGATAGCAGAATATCGCATGCAAAATGAAATAAATAAATTAGTAAGATGGTGTCACGATAATGGTTTGGTTATCAACGCAAAGAAAACCAAACTTATGCATTTTCGACCCAAACATATACCCGCTGCAGATATATCCATAATATTTCATAATTATGAATGCCTTCACCATTATGAGGAAAACATTCAACGAGGAGGTGAAACGTGCTCAACCAAAATTGAAGTAGTAGATACGTTCAAATACTTAGGAATACTATTAGACTGTCATATGAAATGGAGACCACAGATGGATAATATAAGAAAAAAACTACGCAAATCCTCCTACGCATTGTATCACCTAAGTGTTTGTGCACCATATAAAGTGTTGAGGCAAGCATATTTCTCGTTGGTTGAATCCTATCTACGACATGGAATATCTGCATGGGGCAATGCACCTAATCGCAGAATACTTCAAATTACACAAAATAGCCTGTTGAAAATACTACAAAAAAGTTTACTCGTATCTAACACTAACCGACAAGGTAGTAACTCTTCAAATCAAACAATAGCAAACTACAACGAAAATCTACCGAAACTTTTGCACATATTAAACATTGAAAATTTGTACAAGACCACCATAATTAACGAGTTTCACGACGAAAAAAGCATCCTACATAGAATCAACCACGCCCAGAATACAAGAAGCCGAGCATTAGGAAAATACAAGATACCATGCTTCAAAAACGAATACGGAAAACGAACGCTCAGTGTTGGCCTTCCATCGCTCATGAATTCAATACCAGCATCTATACTAAGCTTAAGTAATAAATTTAAAAGAAAGAAATTGCTTAAAGAACATTTAATAAATTCCCAATAATAATTTTATATAATAATTAAATAATACACTCGGACTGTTAAACAGCCTTTGTAATATAGATAATTACATTTAAGAATATCCTACAGACAAGCCTATAGCTTCGTGGGATCTATGAATTGTAACTCTCTGTATAAAGAAATAAATAAAGAATAATATATTAAAAAAAAAAAAAAATCAGCTCGTCTATGAAAGGCTCCCGTTCAGCTCGTCTATGAAAGACTCCCGTTCAGCTCGTCTATGAAAGACTCCCTTCTGCTCGTCTATGAAAGACTCCCGTTCAGTTCGTCTATGAAAGACTCCCGTTCAGCTCGTCTATGAAAGACTCCCGTTCAGCTCGTCTATGAAAGAAAGTTCAACCAATGAAATTCTATTATTACCGAACAACTGTTGAATTTACACTGCTGTCTTCTAAAGGTTAGGTAAAAATCGATGGAAATTGTAACGCAATCTATTTGTCAAGACGTGAACACATTAATTTCCCTGGTCTTCTTTCGCTATTTTTTTAGGGAAACTCTAAAAATCGGAAGCCCGTCCTTTTTGGCGCCCAACAGTTTAGTTTATCATACTCAAATGCTACTTATCTCTAGTATATGAATGTTTCAATGTGGATTAAAAATAAATAAACATTTGTATTTATTTTAAAATTTTTCCTTTATTTATTTTTAATAGTTTTTTGTGCGATTTGTTTTTTTACTAGTATTATTTATTTTGTTTACTAATACTCTTAACACCTCAATTATAATGTTTTTAAAAATCGGTTAACATTTATGCTTAAAAATTAACATATTTATATATTTATATTTTACAAAATTAAAAATATATATATAATTTCATATAGCTATCACTTTTCATTTTTTATTTCTTTTTCAAAACAAAAATAAGACATGTAACAAAAAAAAAAAAAATTAAAATTAAATCGTTAACAAGGAACATTTGTTGATAATCTAGAAGCCAAAATTTAAGTTTTTAATCTTTACTTTATTTAATTACTTTGCAAAATCATTATTATTTTTAAATAAAAAAAACTATTTGTTTTATAAATATTATATGAAGAGCTTATATGCTAGATTTTAAAACATTTATTAATTTTATACCTTATAATAATTAAAAATATTTTTTTCTTTTGTAATATTTTTTTTTTAACAAGTTTCACTTTTAATCACAATATTTGTATGATTTGTTTGTTTGTTGTGGGTTTTCTTTATAATACATAATTATTTTTTTGTTTTTTAATATTTATTTTTAGAAAAATAAATTATTTTTATATTTAAGGAAATATAAATATATATAGAGGAATTTATGTTATTTGATTTGTTTGCTTTAGGTTTAGAGAGAGAATGGAAATAATATTTTTTTTATAAAAACTATTACAATTTCTTATTTTTATCAAGAAATTATAATAAAAATAATAGTTTGTAGAACTAGAAAATTTAGAATGGATGAAAATATGCCAACAATATCTTTTATGCGAATTTTTATTGACTCAACAAAATTAGTTTTTGATACTTAACTCTGTTATTTACCTTTTTCAATTTTCAATAATGTATTTTGTCAACAAACTAGAGAAACAGCTGATTTTAGAGGGTGAACATGTTAATAGTCCTTAATCTCAAAATTATTTCCATTTGTTTATGGTTTCAAGGCAAACATGAAAGGAGCGTTGCCTTAATGATGGCAATGACATTCCACCCTAACACGAACGTATGTCAAATGCAACTCTGAAAATTAGAAAATGTGTGTGATTTGTTTTTTTATTGGCATCAAAGGTTCTCTAATACCAAGTTTTCTGTTCAAATAATTCAATTCATACAGAACTTAGTTCAAATCTTCTATTAGAAAATATTTAAGACTTATTTCGGAAACCCTCTGAAATACCTTTAAATATTATTTTAATCGTCTTCCATAACTTCTATTAGAAGTAATAAAATGCTCTGTTCCAGAACCCGCAAAAAATCATGTTTTCCATTTCCCATTTTTGAAAAAAATTTAGCACTCTATGAGTTTGGGAAGGAACCGAAAATGTTCTAGTAGAAGACCTTAAAAAAATCAGTAGAAAACATTAAAGATTTCTAGTAGAGAACAATAAGGACTTCTATTGGAATTCCTTATTATTTAAATATCTGTAAATCTACACTTTGAAGTCATTCATCAGAATATTTTAAAGACATCTATTAGAAGTCCCCAAAAATGTTCTCTGGAAGACCTCAAGACTTCTCTCTAATACCTCAAAGACTTCTCTGGAAGACCTCAAAGTCCTCTCTGGATCAAAATGAGATCTTTATCACCTGATATCTTTTAAGGGGGAAACACATACAAGGATTCAGGCCTGCCCTGTTAAGTTGGCTTCGTATGAATTGTCAATTTATAAAGGAATATCAGAGTCAAAGTTGTATTTGGGAGCCTGTATTCTTTTACAATGAAAGAAGCCAACTTAACATGCCAAGCCTGAAAGTCCTCTTATGTGCTGTCCCCTTTAGAGCGCGGAAAGAAAACCATACTTCCATTAGAAGAGCTTATATTTTTATATTAAAAGCACATAAAGCCTTTGATATCTTCATCCTCTTAAAGAGTGGAACGCTTTTTACTTTTATGACATCTTCTCGTAATCGACATAGCATAAATTTCAGAGTTGCATTTCGTTTTCCATATGCGAAAGTGTTGCCATATCTAAAACAAAAAATTACCTAACACTAAAAATATCTCTCGTGGAAATTAAATTAAAAAAAAATACAATTTATAAAAAAATTACAACTAAATTTATTGCTATGAATTAATTTTAGCCAATAGGGGTTGTGTAACGGAATTATTTGTGGTTGCAGGCGCCGTTGTTACCGTTGGATGATGTTTCAGGGGTAAGCGATTGCCAACCGATGGTGTAACAATACCAATAGCACCACCTCCGCCTCCACCACCATCATCAGCAAGCGCATTTAATTTCGTTGAGCCGATATTATCCTCCCCGGATGTGAGTAAATGTTGACTATTATTCGATGAGTTATTTGTCAAAAATTGATTAACATTTCGGCAATTATTGACTTTGACATAATTGGAGGTGTTGATGGCGGCGGCGGGTGGTGGAATGGTGAAATTCCCGGTCAGTGAACTTAGTGGTGGGGGATGAAAGAAATTATTCATTGGTGGCGCTTCAACATCACATTGTATATTTGTCACCGATGGTGAACGCTGATAGTACAGATCTCCATTTATGGCTGGTGGTTGGGGCATAACAATTGCGGTTTTACGTTCCCGCGTTGAGGGAGTCTCGACAATTTGCTCCCCAGCAACATCGTCAACATCCTCCTCCTCCTCCTCGTCGTCATCGTATTCGTCGTGATCTTGGCGATTTATCATATTAGCTTCAGCCTCTGCCTCGCCTTCATCATCCTCATAGACATGTGATGAGACGAGATTTTGTGTCTCCTCCGAACTTTCATTGTTAATGCTGAATTTGATACGTGTCGAACTACCCAAACTGGCCGTATCACTGTTATTTATCAGACTTGAAATGGTGGGTGAATTTTTCATTCGCAGCCTTGAGCCGGAATTCGGTTGCAGCACACCGGACAAATTGGAATTTGATTGGGTGGACGACAGCTGGGTGTAACTGTGTTTGGGATTACTGCTGTTGTGATGATGAGGTTTCAGGGTACCCGATAGCGGTAAACGGAAATTGGCCATTTCCCAGCAGCCATCCTTGGCGTCGTCCTTCAGCGACCTACTACTATAAATATCACTATGCGGTGGTGAGAGTTTCATGCTATTCAGGGCATTTACCTCCAGATAATTATAAAAATCATCAGTCTTAAAATCGTTACCATTCAATTTGGGCGATGATGAGGATATCTTGCGTTTCACTCGCAAATTGGGAGAATTTTGTCGGCTCACCGAACGTGCAATGTCCAGCTGTTGATTATAAGGTGGTGGCAGGAATGCTGAGGCTTCGGAGTTTTGTTTATGCAAAAGGCCATGGCGCGGCACTTGCTTCAGCGAGGAACGCCGTGAAAGCATAAGTTTTTGTGGTGATATCGGTGTTTCCACTTTGGGTACTTCACCCTCCAGCCAATAGGTTAACATTTCACCTTTACCCTTCATGGGAACATAACCTCGTTTCGTCGTGATAAAGGTACCAAAGGCATCCAGTGCCAATTTAGTTTTTTCACTTATGTGAATTTTCAATGCCTCACCATTGGATTCCATGCGTGAGGCGGTATTCACGGTATCACCAAACAAACAGTAGCGGGGCATTTTCAAACCCACCACACCAGCCACACAGGCCCCGGTGTGTAGACCAATTCTCAGTTTGAGTTTATCATTTGGCCGATGATGTATCTTAAAATTATGCACAGCCTCGAGTAGGGCTAAAGCCAAGCGGGCAATTTCTCTACTATGTTGATTACCATTGCGTATGGGCAGGCCTGAGACTACCATATAGGCATCGCCTATGGTCTCCACTTTGTAGACATCGAAATTTTCCACAATCGAATCAAAACATGTATAGAGATCATTCAGGAATTGCACCACTTGCATGGGTGTACTTTCTGCCGAGATGGCTGTGAAGCCAACAATATCGGAGAAATAAATGGTAACTTGATCGAATGTTTCAGCTACCACCGGTTCTCCCGATATCAACTGGGCAGCCACACTTTGTGGTAAGAGTTGATACAGAAGTTTTTCACATTTCTTCTTTTCCTCAATATAATCTTGGGTACGTTCTTCGACCAGTTCTTCCAAATTGTTGGCATACTGTTCCATACGTTTGAGTAGATTGTCGACAATATGCCCGGTTTCATTATCCCTGAAAGGAAGGAAGACAATACGATTATTAGAAAGTTACTAAAAACTTTTTTATTGTGGAATCATTTTTAATCGCTGTCCAGTTGATGGAACGCTTTTTACAACGATGTCATTTCAAAGTGATTGGAATTCCATTAATTTCAGGGTTGCATTCTCTCCCGTTCCCACATGGTACACAAAAATACAAGAATTCTTTAAAGAGGAATATGAGGGTCTTATCTACATGAAGAAAACAAAGCAATTTCCGAACTCAATGAACGTAAATAGATTTCCGTATTCTTATACTTTGTGAATTTATGCAGTCAGTAAAATGTCTATATGCTCTAAATAAACTTCGGTTCGCAGTCGAGTCTCAGTGAGAAGTTTTAGTGGCACCCAACTCAAACTTTAAAGAATGCATGAGACTGACTTAACCAAGATAGAATTTGAACTTGGTGTTTCCTAGTCGAACTAAACCATACAAATGACACATTCATACTTACTTATTAATATTCCTTATAATCGATTTAAGAGCATTAAAATCTGGTCTCTCAGCTGGGTCTTCGGACCAACATTTCTGCATAACTGTATTTATTTCCCTATAATCGTTGGGAATGTCAACAACCAGCGGTCGGAAAGGTGTTTGGACGATATGTGGATAACCTTTTACCAGATAGATTATTTCTGAAATTAAACGAAAAGAAAATGAGGAAATAATTAGCGATTTATGACTAAACATTAGGAGAAGAATTGAAAAAGTAGATGAGCAATATGAAACAGCTAAAAGGGAACGATTTCAAAAGAAATGAAGATTATTGGGTGATCAGAAGAAGAGGAAGTCTTCAAATACCTGTACTGTATAGAGAATTTATTTAGAATGAACTCTCGATGTGAGGGGAATTTATTTAGAAGATCTCACTTTCTGTGGATTTTATTTAGAAGAAGCAAAATCGGAGATACTCCACTGCTGGAGAATCGTGGAAAACGGTTCGAAGCCGAAGGACTATTATAAACAAAATAATCTCACTGCTGGAGAACTGCTGGAGAATCGTGGAGAATGGTTCGAAGCCAAAGGACTATGGTAAACAAAGTAATCTCGCTGAAAAAGAATCAGAACAAATCACGAGGAGGCAATTGATCTAGAAAAACATAGAACCAAAATAAATAACTCCTGCAGCTAGGCGAGGCTGAAACTATGTGCCAGTTGTAGTAAAAGGAAGTTGACTTTGAGTACTACATGTATGGGGATACTACATAAGAAACCAAAATCGAAGTAGTGATTTTTGATGTGGAAAGGCAAGGGGAACCACTTATGCCCGATACCGACGTGTTGTCTTCAAAAAGTTGTCTAATTATATAAAGCCTTTTGATAAAACTAGAAGCGGACAAATACCTTTGATAAAAACGTTAGTTGCTAACGTGACGGACAGATTTTCGAAAGCGGAAACAATGAAAATTGAATAAGGCGGTAGTGGGTTAACAGTCAGCCACCAGCAGGTATAAAAGGAGGTGCCTTGGTGATAATCGGGACAGTCTTCAGTAGATGGCGGTGGTGTCAAATGGGATTGAAAAACGAGCCCTTGGCTGGTTGCTATCTAGTCAGGTACCTCGAATACCAGTGAAGTAGTTGCCGAATAGTCGAGTGTGGTCGAAAGTCCTCGACTGCCAGTGGACGTAGCTGTGGAGTATTTGTTGTCTAGTTCAAAGGGGTTTAAAAACTATCCCTTGGCTGGAACAAAAAGGAGTTCGCCGCTGTCGCCTAGAACAAGTGGGGTTGAAGCATTTATTTTCGATGGGAAGTACCGTTGTGTTATCTCTTCACTAAGTTGTCTAATTGTAGAAAACCTTTGGAGAAAACTGGAAGCGTACAAATACCTATGATAAAAATTGTAGTTGCTAACGTGACGGAAACATTTCGAAAGCGGAAACAATGAAAATTGAATAAGACGGCATCAGGTTAATAGTCAGCCACCAGCAGGTATAAAAGAATGTGCTTTGGTGACAATCGGGACAGTCTTCAGATTGCTGTGATGTCAGGTGGGGTTGAAAAAACGAGCCCTTGCCTGGTTGTAGTTTACTGTCTAGTTGAGTGGCGTTGCGAAAGGAGCCTTCGACTGCCAGTTAAGTAGCTGCTGAATATTCGAGTGAGATTGAAAGCCAACCCCTGGCTGTCAGCGGAATTAGCTATGGAGTTTCGCTGTATAGTCGAGTGGGGTTAAAAAACGAGACCTCGGCTACCATTGGAATTAGTTGATCAGTAGTGGAGTGGGGTTGAAAAACGAGCACTCGGCTACCAATGAAGTAGCTGCTGTCCAATCGAGTGTTGTTCAAAAACGAGACTTCGTCTGGAGCAGAAAGGAGTTCGTCGCTGTCGTCTGGGAAAAGTGGGTTTGAAAAACAAACAAGAGGAAACATCGGGCTATCGCTGCACATAGATGCCGCCAATCTTCGGGTGCTGTCATCATCGTTGGGATGCACTGTCCCAAGCTGTTGTGGGTGACCAGTCCCAAACTATTTGGGGTTCAATTGGTAATAGTTTTGGCTATGAGCCTGACCTAAGGTTTTTTTCGGTAGCACGGGTGTCAGGGGCCCCTAGGTCCGTGGATCTAGCCTGACAAGTTGGTGTTGGCCCCCTGGGGAGCATCGTGCTGGCTGTGGTTTAAACCCAAATCGCGGGTAAAGTTTCGACTTGATGTGGAGTTGCACTGCAACTGACGCTTCGAAAGGCAGGAGTTTTAGATAGGCTCCGCTCCTCATCCAAGGAGGTGATCACGTCCAAATACGTGTGATCGTTTGGTACCTACACCTCGGTGTGGGAGCGTTGGTTGACGCGTTGTATTAACTGGTGTTTACAGCACTGTGGGGTAAGGCCGGCAGGCAGGTACCCACGTACTCTAAATATCTCTGTCCCAAGCTGTTGCCAACCTGTGGGTGTCGCCGTTTATTGGACCGCCGCTGTGCCAAGTTGCCGTCAACATTCTGTGTGTCGTCACCATTCATTGGGCTGCCGCTAACATCCGGGACCGTCACCGTTCATATGACTGCCGCTGTATCACCATTCATGGGACTGCCGTTAACCTATGGAACTGTCACCGTTCATAGGACTGCCGTTGTGCCAAGCTGGCATCAAATTTCTGTGTGTCGTCACCATTCATTGGGCTGCCGCTGTTATAAGCTACCGTCAACCTTCTGTGTGCCGTCACCATTCATCGGGCTGCTACTGCACCAAGCTGCCGCAGACCTCAGGAACCATCACCTCTTAACCGGCTGCTGCTGCACCAGGCAGCCGCCAACCTTCTGTGTGCCGTCACCATTTATCGGGCTGCTACTGTACCAAGCTGCCGCTAACATCCGGAACCGTCACCGTTTATCGGGCTGCTGCTGTGCCAAGGTGCCGCCAACCTTCTGTGTGCCGTCACCATTCATCGGACTGTTGCTGTGCCGAGTTATCCACCTTTCTCTTACCTAATTTTATTCCAACCTACATGCAATAAACGTATATCGGGAAGTTATAGTAAAAGGACCTCTGCCAACAGTTATATTTGATACCCTCGCTACAAAACTCGCCCATCATCAGAGTGTTAAACACGTCGTCACAAGGCTTTGGTTAACAACGGTTACATAAGCACAATGCATTCTAATGGCAGAATCTGTACTATGCGAATTTACTTAAGTTAACGTGGAAAGCGTCTGCGCCCCAGCCATTGGCCTCTCCTATAGAATAGTAGCACTTCAGTTTGTCTGTCATAGAAAAATTAAATTATTTTCCACAAAATTTTTGTAAAATAAATTCAATAACACATTTTTCTACTCAATAATCTGATTTCCCGTTACTTGTATTCTCCTTTCCTTCGAAAATCAAAACTAATCCCTGTCAAACGTTAACCGTTTAACACGAAGACTAAAGGGACAGCAAAAATAGAAATCCAAGTAAAACACGCAACGACATCCAGCTTTCACATTTGGATAAATTCAATAGCACCAAAGGATAACCGAAGAGGAATACAAAATCGGCCTGCCTGAACTGCTGATGGTTTGCCCAACAACGAAGTGCTGTTCGTTGTATCCATGACATGGAAAAGGGAGAATGTCATGTCACAGGTTAATCCCTTGGGACTAACCTAACACAACAGTAACCACAATACGGCGTTGTTGTTGTTGTTGTTGTTAATGTTGCTAAGCATCAAGGATACGAAGGACCACAAAACATTGCACTTGTCAATTCTTGAAATAGAATTCTGAAACGAATCAAAGCTAATGTGGCAACATATCATCACCACAAGAAATCATCAAGATTTATTATTCTGGCTTTGGAACGTCAGCAGCAAGAACAAAAATCTTGGGATGGCACATCCTTAACAACACAAGGATATAAATCAAAAACGAAAGTTTCTCAGGCAAATGACGAAGGCGAGGATTACAACGATGCTGATACGGAGAAACACTTAAATTGTTTTATACAAAACGGAAAAACTTTCAACACCATAACCAGGTCATATGTTAATGCCATAAACACCAAGGGAGGAAATGCTTCCAAACAATGCCAACAACCGGCTGTTCATTGGCAACAACATTTGGCTGGCATGCAATTGACATGGATAAATCAAGTTCCGCAGCATATTGCATCGACACAATGTGTAACAAAAACCCGGCAGAGGAAAAAGAAGGCGACGGAGGCGACTCAACATCCACAATCTGAACTCCATTGCCAGAAATCTCGTTATATCCTTTGCATGTTCGAAGTCTTACCAACGTGCCGTGCAAAAAACCCAACGGATAATATATTTCAACGACATGCATCAGCAACAACAATCAGAGCAAACTATCGACATCATGTTGAAAATTCGGCAACAAGGACGACGACAAATCTCTTTCAATTTCAATCATTGCAAGCGCCAGCTATTGACAGTCATACACCCAAGTGGAATTATGCAGATTATGGGATGTGTAAGTGTCAACCAAGTTAGTAAGAGGGGAAAGGACAGGGCAGGGATAACATTTTTATATACGAAGTTTTTTAAAGTCTCTAGAGACGAGCTGAAGGGAGTCTTCCATAGACGAGCTGAAGGCAGTCTTCTATGGACGAGTTGAAGGGAGTCTTCTATGGACGAGTTGAAGGGAGTCTTCCATAGACGAGTTGAAGGGAGTCTTCCATAGACGAGTTGAAGGGAGTCCTTATAGACGAGCTTAAGGGAGTCCTTATAGACGAGCTTAAGGGAGTCCTTATAGACGAGCTTAAGGGAGTCCTTATATACGAGCTTAAGGGAGTCTCTATAGACGAGCCTGAAGGGAGTCTCTATAGACGAGCCTGAAGGGAGTCTCCATAGACGAGCCTGAAGGGAGTCTCTATAGACGAGCCTGAAGGGAGTCTCTATAGACGAGCCTGAAGGGAGTCTCTATAGACGAGCCTGAAGGGAGTCTCTATAGACGAGCCTGAAGGGAGTCTCTATAGACGAGCCTGAAGGGAGTCTCTATAGACGAGCCTGAAGGGAGTCTCTATAGACGAGCCTGAAGGGAGTCTCTATAGACGAGCCTGAAGGGAGTCTCTATAGACGAGCCTGAAGGGAGTCTATATAGACGAGCCTGAAGGGAGTCTGTATAGACGAGCCTGAAGGGAGTCTCTATAGACGAGCCTGAAGGGAGTCCTCTATAGACGAGCCTGAAGGGAGTCTCTATAGACGAGC